ACTCCCATTGGTTCCCATTTAGAAAAGATTTCAAATGATCAGAATGCTGAGAACTGTCTCATTCTGACAAATCAATAATCAATATCGGGTATTGATTTCTGAGCATTGCAAACAGTGACTTGCTCTCAGGACCAAGCATTGTCCTTGCTTTTCATGTAAGACTTCACAGAGATCTTGAAATGCATGGATGTATTTTAACAAGCTGGACAACAAGGGCAAAATGTAAAACTCGCTAAACATTGATTTCAGTCAGAAGTTACAATTACAGGATTATAATTGCTCAAAATGCATGGATTTAATTAAAAGAATATGGTGTTTTTAATAACCTACATCCAAGTGCAAGTGTGTCTGTGTTACCACTAAAATAAGTCAGTAAAAATATTAACATACTGTATAAAGTAAACATCAGAGCCACACAGGCAGCCTTTATTTTATTCATTGAATTAGTGCACATTTTGTTTTGTTTGAAGATCCCCTCCAAACATATTTAGGAAATAAAAATACTCTCCTTTGAATAATAATTTGTATACACCGATCAGCCATAACATTATGACGGAGGTGAAGTGAAAAACACTTATTATCTCGTTACCATTGCACCTGTCAGTGGGAGGGATGTACTTGGCAGCAAGTGAACATAATGATGCCTAGACAACTGGGTCAGAGCATCTACAAAACTGCAGCACTTGTAGGCCAAATTGCTGCAGTTGATGCAGGTCACTCGCTTCCGTTTCCGGCCCATGGGACCTTATTTCGGAAAAAATATGTACGGTAGTCAAAGGCGAGAGACAACTTATATTTTTTGGACCTGTTTGAATTTGTGCCCTGAATTACACATATGATGTTTGTCAATTTAAAAGATAATTTTGCAAGTCAAGAAAGTTGCAGTTTGTCGGAAAACAGTAAAGTTATGTGGGTTTTTTTGTGTGGAAAACCGTTCAATGAACTACATCTCTCTGGCAAAATATACGTCACAACATGTTAGCGCGGTAATGCTAGCTAACGTTTATTGTTACGACATCACGTACATGACTTTTGGGTCTGTGTTCTTTGTAATTATGTATTTTCACAGGCTTGTACCTCCACAGTTGTACATCAAACTGCGATTTTCTTGACTTTTATATGTGATTCAGAGCACAATTCAAACGGGATCATAAAATTACTTATCTCTTGCCATTGACTACCGTACATATATTTTCCAAAGTTAGGTCCCATGGTGCTCCATCAGAAAGGGAGGGACGTAGGCTCTCTAAATGGGCCATAGGCCTGTCAGGGTGCCCATGCTGACCCCTGTCCACTGCCAAAAGCAACTACAATGGGCACGTAGGCATCAAAAACTGGGCACAAAGCAATGGAAGAAGGTGGCTAGGTCTGATGAATCACGTTTTCTTGTACATCACATGGATGGCCAGGTTTGTGTGCTTCACTTACCTGGGGAACATATGGCACCAGGATGCACTATGGGAAGAAGGCAAGCCAGTGGAAGCAGTGTGATGCTTTGGGCAATGTTCTGCTGGGAAACCTTGGGTCCTGTCATTCATGTTGATGTTACTTTGACACGTACACCTGGTAGACCATGGTATTCCTTGATGGCAGTGGCCTCTTTCAGCAGCATAATGCGTCCTGCCACAAAGTAAAAATGGTTCAATAATGGTTTGAGGAACACAACGAGTTCAGGGTATTGACTTGACCTCCAAATTCCCCAGATCTCAATCCATTCAAGCATCTTTGGGATGTGCAGGACAAACATTCCGATTCATGAAGGCCCCACCTCACAATTTACAGACCGTCAGAGGTCTAGTGGAGTCCATGCCTCGACGGGTCAGTGCTGTTTTGCCGGCAAAAGGAGGACCTACACAATATTAGGCAGGTGGTCATAATTTTATAGCTGATTGGTATATATGTATAATGGAGGGTCAGTTACCTCATTAAAGATGTGTTAAAGACCTCAATAGAACATTTTTTTTTTTAAATTAAGAAAGCGATAAATATATATTATATTATATATATTCTAAAAGAACTGAATTTAATTTGAGCTTCTGGCAATGTAAGATGTATCTGATAAATTATATCCTTTCTAATTTTTTTTTCTTATTGTGAACTTTGCATTAATAAAATTCAAAGAAACAAAGAATACGAAGCAGCAGCTAAAATTGGCTACAAGCATTTGAAAACTGCAGTAAGTTTACCAAAGACAGTCCAATTAATGACATAATGTCATAGAATTCCTAGCATTTGATGACCAGCCCTTTTCCGTAGTTGAAGACCAAGGATTTCACCAGCTAATAACATATTTAGAGCCCCGATACACTGTCCTAAGCCACCGCAACTTTGTAGATGTATCGCTTCCTTCCCTGTATGGTCTGGTCACCAAACATTCATAGTCTACCCGATACCAACGTGAGTGACGTAAGTTTTACCATGGACATATGGACTCCTGACGCCCAGCGAGTATGCTTAGTTTGGCGACTGGCCGTATGAAGAGTGTTCCCGTTGCTGCACATGACCTCTTAGCTGTTCTAACCATCAGGTGTGTAAAGATTACAGGTTATTAACTTAATTTTAATTTACAAAAATATGAAGAATTATTGGGAATCAGATTGGTATCAGCCATAAGAGTAAGGCAATTATTGGTTATGGGATCTGTGGGTAAAAAAATCCATATCATGCATCACCAAAATTACAGCTACCTATTCAAAAATCCAGATCCTGTGAGTATGCACATATTGTTCAGAAGTTGAATTGGGGTTTTTTTTACATTCTCAGTTTATGTAGGACGCTTCAAATTAGTTGTGTTGTCACAAA